AATAAAGTTAAATCAGACTTTTAGTATGTTTTATTGTGAACCATTCATTTAGACAATTAATGCTTAGGCTTCAAGATCATGAATTTATTTTCAGATGTCAATTTTAAGACAGTGAGGGAAAAATGTACAAGGCAATGATAATGTTCCACTTTAAAGTTCTTGTGTTTCTGCTTAAATAGTTATAATAACACATGCTGTAGAAATTTTCTATATTTATTTTAGAATTACTGCTATGTGCATATGTATTATTCTTGGTAGGATGGGCCTCTTCATATCTAGGGCATCCCACTATGATGACTGATTATGTTCCAGCTGGTCTTTCTCTACTTAGGAATAAAATTTTTTACTGGAGTAAATTTAATCAGACAATCTTGTTATATGTGGCACTGGTCCCAATCAGTTGAAAGTTTTGAAAAGAGAAAGTATAAGAAGAAAGACAAAAACTACAGTCTCAAACATCATGAACTTCTCTAATGTGAGTTCTGAAGTCAGATAGTCTTTGATTCATATCCTGAATTCATCACTTACTAGCTCTCTGCCTTTCAAAGTGCTGTGGAACCCTCTAATTCTTGGCTTTCTGTAAGCTGGAGAATAATATTAATAGCTACGTTTTAGGCTTACAGTGAGGGTGAAATGAGATCCTCTGCGCACACATTTAGCCAAGCGTCTGCACATGGGAAGTGGGCAATAAATGTTTCCTTTCATACTATATTTTCCAACCAAAGTCAAAGAATGATTGCAAACCACCTGCATCATTATCACTTAAGGTACTTATTCAAATACAAGTTCTGGGTCTCTCTCAGCACCAACTCTTTCAAGATCTCCAGGGTTGAGGCCCAGAAATCTTTATAAGGCCAAGAAACCCAAGTTATTCTTATGTACATTAAAGTTTTAAAAATTACTTAAATACTTGTTTCCTTTTTTTAAATATTATTTTCATATCATCTAACCGTAAAGTCACTCTTTAGTAACTCTATCATCTTATCCATATGCTATCTTCCTAAAAGAAAATAAATGCACATCCTGGAGTTTGTATCTAAAATGCCCACTCCCTGTCCCACCCACCCTAGCTCAGGCCCATCCAAAATTGCTTCCAACTTCCCCTGAGTCTTCCTCATCTCTTTTCTCCCCGAATATTACCAGTTGGATCTTTCTAAAGTACTCATTAGATCCTCTTCTTTTCAAAATCTTTTAGTCATTAATCATTCTCTGCATGATACATTCTAAGCTCCTGAACATAAAAATCAAAATCCTCAAAAATATGGCCCCTACCTCTCTTCTTGGCCATATCTCCATCCTGTCCCTGACACAGTATACGCCACTGAAAGAGAAAAACTCACCATTTCAAATAACTAGTTCTGCCCTGCTTCAGTGCCCTTCCTTCAGTCAACAAATGACTTTAAATTTCTTCCCGTTGAAATCATGTCCACCAAGATCCAGCTCCAACGCCACTTCCTCCCAAGAGCTTTTCCTAATCTCTCCAGCTGGAAGAGATTACCTTCTTAAAGCCCTTAGTTAGTAACACTCTTATAATACTTACATTTTTCTTTTTTGTAGTGTGTTCCCTATTAGGTCTTTTATTTCTTACAGACAAAAAACACATCATCTCTCCCTTTTCATCCCTCGTGCTTGGCATAAATTCTGGACTCAAGACGGTTTTCTAAAGTAACCACTGAATGAATAAATGACAGTAACAAGTAGCTTGCAATAATGGTTTTCTAGAGACACTCAACTTATGAAATGTTATATTTTGACACTTTTAATTTCTCTTGGCGTGCAAAGGCATTCTTGCTTTATTGAATGTCTGTGCACCTTAGAAATCATCCCATCCAACACCAGCACATCAACACAGCTGAGAAATCTGAGAACCACATGACTTACCCACATCATACTGCTAAGGAGGACATTGGGTTGAGAAGAATGTTGGGCTAATTCTCTGTCCAAATGATTTGTACATTCATTTCATAATGAATTAGTATATTTATTTTTCACTTTTATATGTGTATTGTGTAAGCTTATTCTATTGCTTCAACAATATTTTATAGTAAACAATGAGAAGTTTCCATTGCATGCGAGAAGCTTTGATCCTCATGCTCTGCACACTAGCGTTGACTGTGCTTCAGCTGAATTACATTAAGTTCTGTTTTAGGCTATAGCTCAGCGAGTCTTAGCTGCAGACTCACAGTTGGGGTCAGGTTTTCTTCATGTGTCTTCTCTCTGGGGCTAAGCTAAAGGGGCAGCAACTATCTAGGGCATGCTCTTTTTCTTAGTATGTTACTGGACCTCAAGAAAGAGACTCATTGTCACACTATCATTTTTTCCCACATTCCATTGGCCGAAGGAAGTAATTTGGCCAAGTCCAATATAAATGCCTCTAATAGAGGCAACTCCAAAGTCACATGGCAAAGTGTGTGGATGCATTGGAAAGACGTGAAGAACTGAGAACAATGATCTGCCTACTGCGTGTCTTTAAGACTAGTTTTCATATTTTTAAATTTATATTTAATATCTGACATATGACTATATGTCAAAAGAGTTCATTTCTAAAGATGCAGTTGTAGATATTCCTTGGAACAAGTGAAACTCATAAGAAAATAAGGGAAAATTAACCAATATAGAAATTTGATTTCTATATCTCCATTATGAAACTGGAAAAAATATATATTCAATTTTGTCTTCGTACTCAACAAAATGTTTATATAACTGGCCTCTATTAATTATTCTTTATTACTCATAGTTCTACAGTGTGAGAAGTTACATAGCATGATTTCATTCATGCTAGCAATTTAAATGAGTAAAACTATGCTTAAAAATATCAAGGATTTGGATTTTGTTTCCCGTTTGTACCAAACAGAAGAATGAAAAAGTATAATTTTTAATCTGCAGTGATCAAATGCATGAGAAAATTGCCTAAGATCTGAATTTTTAACATCTACCCTGGTTGACTGACGCATGTTGCCCAAAATCGGTTTCAGTAAATCCTTCCTTAAAGGAAACTTCATGGAGCATGCTTACATAAATACACTGGAGAATATGTTATACATTTAAATTGACTCCCATGTGAAAATGACATCATTAAAGAAAATTTCAACATTTATTAATTTATCAAATCTTTGCCTCCCTGATTGATTGCTGGTGATTGCCTGAAGTCTAAGCAAAATATTATATAAGAACACTTTATTAGGCTATATTATGCAATCCTATTTCAAAAAGTTTACTACTTTGCCATCATACTTAATAAGATCTATAACTATGTATTTAGCTAAACATTTTGTTAATAATACTGAGATAGTCAAAACTTTAAATTCCTCTCAAGCCTCTTATATACAAGATAAAACAGTTTTAGAAAGCTCAAAATAATAAGGAGAATTTAGGGCTTGTTTCATTTTTTTTCTCGGAAATTAATACATAACTACTAACTGTTGTACAATGGTCATACTTAAGAACTTGGGTCTGAAAATTCAAGATAAAGAGTTGCTTAAATGGTATTATTGTAGCATTATTGTGGTATTTAAAGACTCAATACTGAATTCTCTCTAACTTTGTTATTTTTGAATAACTGTGTAGATTGGCTATCAAAAATCCTTAGCCCAGTTTTGTTATAAATTTCATGTCAAAATGGACCTCACAATTCTGACTTTGTTTGTGTTTTGCTATATATATTTTAATAATTACTGGTTTTCTCTTTTTGTTCCAGGAGTTCTGAAGAGAGTGACCCATAGGTATGTTACTTGTCCCCAGTTGCCATGGGTAGAGAATAGGTAAGGGAGATCCCACGGGAAAGTGAGCCCCCCAAACTATCATTACATCATTAAGGAGGAAACACAAAAAATTCATTTATTCCTGTCTAAACATTTTGATTTTATACTGTCTTTATATAGTGCAGTGGAGAGGTGGGAAAAATGTTCAATTTGAAGTAATTTGTAATGAAAATAATTTGTTTATTTCTATATAATTACTCAATGTTTTATTGACTGATTTTAACTAGGATTCAGGTCTATATCAGGCAAGGACGGTGTGTAAATAACTCTGAAACTATTGTGAATTTTGCCAGTGTTGGTGTTTTAAAAGTCTCTTTGGCTTTTGTTAGAATCATTCATTTCTATTTGTAAGGAAAAGTGTTTTCTAATACCAAGAAAATAATTAATACTAACTTTACCTAAGTCTGTGATGGTGAGAATGAGGATGTCTCATTCTGGTTCTTAATTTCATTTGCTATAAGGTGAGGAACTGATACTGCATCGGCTCCAGGGTCCTCTCAGATAATAAGATGTTGTAATAGTAAAGAATTGTGCTTAGCCATTACTTTTATATACTAATATTCATAATGATCAAAATACAGAGTATACTCATGATGGTCCTAAGTGTAGAGCAACTGACAGCATAATTTATTGAGATATTAATTTACGTTTCATTTTCACTCCTATGAACAGATCAGAAAGAACAAGATCTATTTTTACTTTGACATCTCTATTCCATGCCCTTCCTCATTCCAAAAAGTAACCAGAATTTGTGTTCCTTTTGTTACCTTAAGATAAACTCCCTTCCCACCTTTTGTTTTCAAAAGCCTCAGTATATTGAGAGGCTATGCTGGAGTTTGGAGAGAGAGGCAGAGGAATGGGGGAAGATGCAGAGGGGCAGAACCATCAAAGTAGAGATAGAAGATTGTCTTATCTAGGAAGAGGTGGGTCGCTACTGGACCTTAGTCCTTGATGAAACCTTAAGAGTATGGAAGAACCTGGGGGAGGTTGGTTGAGTACATGGGACTTCCAGGGCGGCGAATCTTGAAGAACTTAAAGATTACTTGACTGGCCTAAGTATCTTCAAAAAGAAGTGGGCTTGGATATTGAGCATGTTGTCAGAGTCACGATTGATTGAAGAACTGAGGCCCTCCCCCATTTTCCAGTCATCCTATAAAACTCCTGGATTCCCTTGTGGTCCTAGGGAAAGGTAGATGGATGTTGCCAAAATGACTAAAGTTAGGATCTCTTACCAGCTGGCAAGAAGAGGCTTGGGATCAGATTCAATTCAATTTAACGACATGAAAGATCATCTGACATTTCTTGCTCATGAGTTCAGGAACTGAAAATTATAATGGTAGCAAGTATTGAGCAATACAATTCTTCTGAAAATGAGCTATAAACTAGAAATCCAAATACTTAAATTAGAATTATTTTCCTCTGCTATAAATGTCAAAAGGTAAAGTTCAAACTATATGTATCAAATATACATATATATTCCAATAGAGTGAAAATAGTGTTATAGTTTGTTAGAATGAATCACTGTAGGTAAAACTCCTCCAGAATTTTTCAAAGCTCTAAGTGATGAAATCTAAAATTTAAAAAATACAACATTTTTTAGCACTTATCTGTGTACATCACTACACATTTGAGAGATTTGTCTCTACAAAGCTTAGTTATTTCAGGAGGCAGTCAGTGAACCTGTCACCAATAATGATGTAGTGGTGAGAAAAACATTCTACTGTGTCAAGTATCCTCACTCTAGTCCCAATTTCTGACCTTAACTCTGTGAACTTGATTAAATTGCTTAACTTCTCCGGTTTTCAGTGGTATCACCTATAAATTAAAAAGATTATAATGAGACATTCCAGGGCTTCAGCCAACTTGAAGTTTTCAATTATAATGAAAATTTTCCCAAATACTTTTTTCCCTGGGCTTTAGCCAAATACCCTAAGAACTGCCGTCTTCACTGCCCTTCATGTATTAATATTGCCAGTTAAAGGAGTCACCATAATGATTCTCTCATCAGCTACCCATTTAAGAATTCCCTTTTCTTATTGTCTTCAGAGTCTATTTGAGTGACACAACAAAATGAGTCTCAATACTGCTACATTAAACTCACACCAATATTTGAACAAAGGCAACATTACCTATCTCATTTTATTCACAAGATGCCTCTTCAAATGGTTTAAGTTATTTCAAAGAAAATCCACAGTCAAAGACTCCCTTGTATTAAAATTATTCAACAGGAATTTGCTCCCAGCATTGATGCGAGCTACAAAGGATGAGATCTGAAGGTGTTGTAGGCAATGGCAGGGTCTTTGAAATAAGCATCACCCTTTAGTCTATATATTGTATTTGATTCCTCTGCATATAAGGAATGTGTGTTTGCCTTATTTATGACTTTCTTAAAGAAATGCCCTTTCTAGAGGCATTGTTAGACATATGCCCACTGCTAATCAAAGACCCAGAATATCAAAGTCCCAGCATTCTTTTGTATTTAAAGATTTGGAATATTTGATGGAAATCAGTTCAAAAACTGTACAATCACAATGTGTGTATGTATTTTTTGCACATTAGCCTTTACCAATGGGAGTTGTACACAATACTTTAATGAGACTAAAACAAAAGCATTCACTTGAACTCTGAATACTCAGATTAGTCCACAGGATTTGAGGGCAGGAAATAAAACAGAAAGATAGGTAGTAATTCCATCTTACAGTAAGAAAAACTGAAGCAGAGACATTATTAAGTGAGTTCCACAAAGTTATAGAGTAGACAATGTTAAGTCTAGAACATAAAGAATCTTAAGCCATGTATCTTTCACTCAATGAAAACAGATAAAGTCAAATGGATGAATTCTCTCAGTAAAACTTTCTGGCTATACTTTGTACTTACTGGAGCGCAAGAATATTTAGTCAATAGGTAAGTTTTTGCCCACTTCATAAACAAACATTAATATAAATAATTAACATGCAATAGATAATGCTGTGGGGGGCTGCAGCCTGTCTTATGACATGTCTATGACATTTGAACATTTAAACACCAAAGAAATCATCTCTCTAGGTTTCTTAACTCACAGAAAATAAGCTGGGCAGTCAAATTGTAGGAAACCTTATAAGAATAGATGAATATGTCATAAATATTTTCTCTTGCTCCCTCTTATATTTAAAAAAGGTATTCATGTTTATATATTTATGTATACACATATAGACTTACCCCAAAGTACCTATGTTTTTAGTCCGATTTAAAATTGTTAACTCTTTCCTCTTTAGTCCCCCAAATTATGCCCATATATATGACTATATGACTTCAGTTGGAAAGCAAATCTTTTGTAATAGTATATAAACCACCTCCTAACAATATTAACAGTCACTTCCTAAATTCTATATATTGTATTCACTTTATCAAACAGGAAATGCAAATTTCCCTTCTTTGTTATTCCTCCATTAAAGATATGCCACTTCATTGAATTAGAGACTCTTGTTGAACACAAGCCAACTATTAGAATGAGATTATGAATACCAAATGTACATATTCACCCTACCCTCTTTCATTCTTAACAGTGTGGGAGAATAGAAGGGAACGAGAGACGATTATGAAGCATTTAAGCACTCCTGTCCTTAGACCCAGACAAGAAGCGGCTTAGCTCTGTACAGGGCTGCACGATTTTATGGGCATTCATTTGTATTTTTGTCCAAAATATTATGTTGTCCTGAAAATATTAAGGATTGGCTTGAATTAAAATGACATTTCATTCATTCTGGGTAATGGTCATGTATCGGAGATTCTTCTTTAGAATCAATGATTTATATATAAAGTGAATGTAATTGGAAGTCACACTTCACATTTCTCTCCCACATCCCCATTTTTCTCTCTACCCCCTTCCTTTTTTTTCAGTAATGGCTAAATTGATAATGCGGATTAAGAAAGTATTTTTGTTTCTAGAGATTAGTGAGAAAACGCAGAAAAGAATTTTTTTTAATGATGAAAAATGTGTATTTATATTGTAGGATTTCCTTAGTGTTCATGTTTTGTAGTTCCTTACACACTTTGGATCAAGGGGAGACGAGGAGACCACTGAGGTCTCCCCTACTACAGCTGTCACTCCATAGAGTTGGAACTGTGAAGCCAACATTTCTGGATTCCGAGAAAAGATGGCAGTAACAAGGGAGAACTAAAGCGTAAAACAGCTAGTAGAAAGTTAAGAAGAAACACAAATAATTGTTCATGTTATATAACCACGATTATTAAGTGTATCATGTAAATGGTCATTTAAACCAACAATAACCTTGTAAACTGGGCGTAATTATTACCTACATTTAAAAAAATGTGGAAATGGGGTTTAGAGAGATTAAACAATCTGCCCAAGATCACATTATTATTTATCAGTTTCTGTATAGACTGCATCATGCTCACCACCAATAGTCTAATTTTTATCTGTCACGGTACCTATGGAATATGCAATAAATACAATGAATATAATAATATTGAATATATAATGATTCCTTATTCCAACAGTCTCAAAATATAATAATATAATTATATATATATTTATTGTCATTAATTTTTTAATGAGGAAGGAGCCTATGAAAACAAATGCATTCAGGGCCCACAGAAGTCAAACTACAGCCATATTCTTAAGCGCTGTGCTATACTGCTGCTCATTAATAAAATTCACAGTCAAACATTCTTAAGTTTAGTTGTGGAAATAATCCCAATAGTTACCTGCCTATTATTTAGCATCTTTCCTATTCCCTGGGTAATGGCATTTCATTATCTCTTCCCCACCAAAAGGAATTAAGAAATAGAAATCTTCCTTTTCACGCAAATTTCACCTATTACTACTAAACCTCATATTCAGGATCATAAGAGAATGTTCTTGTAGACACAATAAATTGTAGCTGAGGTCAATTTCACAAAGCATAGAACTGAAATCAAATTAATTATTTTACTAGGCTGCATTAATTTAACGGAGAGCAAGGGTTTTTTTGAGGGGGAATGGATGACATACATCTGAAAATGCTCTGAAAACTAAAAGGTAGTTTAGATGTTGCATCCTAATCCGCACTCATGTCAGGCCTTGTTATAATCTACCTTTATTTGATTTTTTTGTGTGTGAATATCCATGCTTTATTACAGAAACATCACTATATTAGATTCCAGGTCCCATACCCTTTGAGTATTATGCAACACGCAGTATACTGAGGTGACGTAGAGTTCTTTCTCTGCTCCGAAAAACAACAAGGGCTTCAAACAAGAGATTGTAGGTGCCTACTTTGGTCTGGGGATTCAGGTTAGAATAGTGGTTTCTCAATTCTGGCCCACAAGCAAGTACTCATACAGAAAAACCTATTCACAAGTTGTTATGGGCTGAATATTTGTGCCGCCTCCCCCCACAACCAGACAAATTCATGCAGTGAAACCCTACACACCAATGTGATGATTTTAGGAGGTAGGGCCTTTGGGAGGTAATTAGGATTAGATGAGGTCATAAGGGTAAAGCTCTCATGAATAGGATTAATGCCCTTATAAAAGTCACAAGAATGCTTGTTTCCTGTCTCCGCTCTCAGGCTAAGGATCCAGAGAGAAGAAGGTAATCTGTAATCCGGAAGAGGGCTCTCATCAGAAAGTGGCCACGTTGGCACCACAATCTCAGACTTCCAGCCTCCAGAACTGTAAGAAGCAAATTTCTTTTGTTTATAAGCTACTGGGTCTGTGATCGTTTGTTATAGCAGCCTGAACAGACTAAAACACAAGTGTAAAAAAAAGTGAAATATCTACACAGAAGTGTACATACATAACATATAGGTGTTATGAGGTTATAATACTTGATTTATAGGACTTATTCTAGGTATATAGTATATGCTCTTTATACGTTTTAAAACTTTTTGTTAAAATGTATTCTTTTTTCATAAAGTAACTTGATAGTCAAATTACTACCCCCTAATTTGCCCCCTGCACCCCTCCCTGCCCCCCACCACCTTTCTTGTTGTATTTGTGTTCTTATCTGGCAAAATAAAAAGCTGGTAGCTTTATGTTGACCTTTAAATAGTTTTTTGAAATTTTATCATTCCAAAATGTGAGCAACCTGATATGATACTCAAGAACCATCAAATCTCTACAAAGGGTACTCTCTGGTATTCTAAGCAAGAAACAGTTTCCCCATTTTCCTGAGTGGGCTTGTTAAGGCTATAGGTGCCTGCTAGAGTTAGGGCACCACAGAAGAAAAAACAAAAGTGGCGATGGGAAAAAGGCAGAGAGAGGGGCCTCCATGTGTCATTTCTTCAATATTCATTGATACCAATTTTCTACTATTCTTATTATAGCCTTTTCTTAAGAAGAGCATCTTTTATGTCCACACGGTGATATTGAATCAGTATAATTAGCAGCGCTAGGGGTAAACTCTTTCAATATTCCGGCTTTGATTTTGGTCTAATCATTTACACAAGTATTTCACAAACTTTCATCCACAGAGCTTTAGTCCTACAAGATGCTCTACTGGGGGCAAAATGTTAGATGATCAGATACTTCTGGAAAGTTTAGTCTGCTCTGTCTCAACCTTGCCCCCCATGATCCCCACCTCTAGGAGGCACTAAACCACCTCCACTGAGATTTAATTCACAGGGAACTTTAGCATACTAAAGGCTCTGATAAGTGCCAAAGAGTTATTTGTTTTGTTTCATTTTAAATTGATTTTATTTTTTATTGAAGTGTAGTTCACATGCAATATTGTATTAGTTTCAGGTGTACAACATAGTGATTTGACGTTGATATACATTACGAGATGATCACCCTGATAAGACTAGTAACCATCTGTTACCATACAAACGTTA